CCGCAAGAAACTGGGAAGTGTTCTTTCAGCCTCTGGTCCAATCATGTGCCCACGCCCAGCTTTCTTTCCTAGGAGCTCTCACTGTATGGCTCTCAGTCCCTGAGATAGCAAAAGTCTCCAAACCTGCTTGGGCAAGGTTAGATGCTCCCCATCAGGCTGAAGTACAACCCCCTGCCCCCGACAGATTCAAAGAGCTAAAGCCCCCCCGCAGATTAAAAGAGCTAAAGTCCCTAGGCTAACCCCAAGTCCTTCTAACTGTGGAGAAACAGCAGCTCACAACACCTGAAAGCCAGATGTAAATTAATATATGCAAATTAAGTCTATCTGAATGACCGCCCCAAATCCTAACATCTCTTCCCATTTTATCTTATTTAAAGATTTTTTTTTTGTGTGTATAAGCATTTTGCCTGCTTATTTGTGTGAACACCGCATGTGTATCTGGTGCTCCTGAAATTGGGTTTACAACCAGTTGTGAACTGTCATACAGGTGCTGGGAACCGAACCTGGGTCTTCTGGAAGAACAGTAAGTGCTCTTAGCTGCTGAGTCATCCATCTATCCAACTTCCACATTTTAAAAAACATTTATTTACATTGTATTTTATTTGTGATTTTTAACATTTATTTATTTTTAGATTTTACATTTTATTTTTATTTCTATTTATTTATTTATTATTTAGTACGTCTGTGTGTGTGTGGAGAGAGAGACAGAGACAGAGACAGAGACAGAGAGACAGAGATGACAGAGAGAAAGGGTGAGTGCAAGCCATGAGAGACATGTATAGGTCAGAGAACAGTTCTTAGTCTCTCACCATGTAGGGTCTAGAGGTCAAATTCTGCCTATCAGACTTGGTAACAAGCACCTTTACCAACTGAGCTATGTCAATGACCCTATTTACATTTTTTTAAAATAAATAAATTAATGTTTGTGGGGGCCAAAGGACAACTTCAGGAGTCAAGGATCGAACTCGTTTGGCTGCAAGCACCTTTACCCACTGAGCCATCTCCCTGGCCCCTTAAATGATTCAGTCCACTCAGCTACCTCCTTCTCCTTTTGAGCCTCAGTATAGGAGATAAGGCGGCTTTCCAGCTGAGTGAAAGGCTCTAAACCCTTGCTGGAAGCATGGCAGGTAAGGGGGTTGCCTAGTGAACCCCCAGAGACTCTGACAGAATCAGTACCCCCCCCCAACTTCCATCCTCTTAGCTATCCCTTGATGAAAGCCACGAAGTGTGGTTGCCTGCATTTAACTGTGAACATATTGGTGAGACTGTCAACATGTATCACTGTGGACAAAGATGAATTCGATTGTGTGTGCTTTGGGGTCATTTGTGTGTTGGGTGACTCCATGAACCCGAGACAGTTTAGGAGACTGGGCATAGGTGTTCCTACCAGGTGTGTAGCTGTACATGGTGGAAAGAGTCAGTGATTTTATGTTTCAGCACGATAAGGCCCAGGCTATGGCTGCAGTACCTGAAAGAGGGGAGGGGGAGAGGGTGACGCAGGATGTCGTCGGTGTTTACCAGTGGTCTCCTGTGTTTACAGGCGGGCTGCGTGGAGGGGCAGCATAGGCAGAAGACGCTCAGTCTTTCATAGCTGGCGCTTCCTCTGCTTGAAGCAGATCGGACAGTTCCTGCTGCTCTGGTCTGTGACCTCTGCCCCAAGGAGGGGTATTAAGGTGTGCTTGTATTGAAAGGTGTGGTTGGGTTGGGACTCCGTGGGGCAAGTGCATCTGCACCTTCCCCATACTCCACAATGGCAAGACTGGTCGGGGGGCTTCGGCTTTTTGTGGTCGTTTTCGTGTGTGCATCTGTGATCATGTGCATCTTCCACATCTTCGTGGTGTGCGTTTGGGTCCTTCTGGGCTTTTGACCCGCGCGCCATGTGTGCGCGGGACCCAAGCCCTAAGTAACTATGTCTGTGAGCGTTTTGTATTCTGAGTGCGTGCTAGGGCTTTCGCCCGCCCGCCCGGCATGGTTCCTGAGACTTGCGCTAAGCGGGCCTGTGCGAGCGCCACCGCCGCCGCCTCCGCCGCGTGCTGTCCTGTGTGCGGACCGCGTGCCCATCGTGCGCAGGTACCCGTCTAGCCAAGAGTGCGCCCGCGTGCGCAAGCAGCTTCCGGACGCCTCGGCACTGGGGGGCGGCCCCGCCAGGGGGTGGGTCACCGGGACTGGCCGGCGCCTGCCCCGTGCGCGCGAGGCGTGGGCGTGGGCGGGGGCCGCGGGGGGGGGGACGACAGTACGAAAAGGCGGCGCGCGGGCCGCAGCGGCAGCTCCTCGGCGACCCGCACTTACCAGTGTGCGCCCCGGTGCAACCCTGGCTTTCCCTCCTCTGGACGCCGGCGCCCACTTCATCGTCCGCAACCAGAAGCCCAGTGCAGCCCCCGGAGCCCCCTCTGCACCGCCGCCGCTCCCCGGACCACGACCCAGGCCGCCCCGAGATGACCGCGACCGGAGCCCTCCTGCCCGTCCTCTTGCTCCTGCTGGCTTTCGGCCACAGCACCTATGGTGAGCCCCCCTGGCGGCTTGGCTCGCGCCCCCTCTGGGGAAGCCTGCGATGCCCCGCCGACCACCCCCCGCCGACCACCCCGCACTCCCTGTCCCGTGCGCCCCAAGTCCTGCCTGTCCCGCCTAACCCTAAGCCCCGCACTGCGCCCACCTCACCCTCCCTGCGCCACTCCTGTATGCCTAGCCCAGTCCCGGGGTCCTGGGGTTTGCGGGAGGTGGAGGGCCCCAGACCCTTTTTGCCCAGCAGAAGTGGCGTTCAGAGGGGTGTCGTTGCGCGGATTGAGGAGGTATGGAAAAAGGAGGCTTCCCTGGGAGGTGTTTAAGAAAAAAATGGCTCTGGGTGCAACTTTGGGGGTGCCTGTCCCTGCGTATGTGCTTAGGAACAGGTCTGGGGGCTTTGAGGGGATGACTTTGCAGTCGTAGCCCCCAATTTCCAACAGGAGCAAAGCCGGAGCCCCTCCTGCGTGGCGCGTTTCTCTAGGTGAGGGGCTGCGACACTCCTGTCTGCAGCGGCCATCTGTCTCTGGCAGCGAGAGAGTTGCCCCCCTCCCGCAGCGACCCCAGCCTCCACTCCGCCAGTGGTTTGTGTGGGGGGCGGGGGTCTATCTGGAAAACCCAAGAGTCGGTTAAGTAGACGCATACAGTAGGTGTCTATTAGTGTCGGAATCTGTGAGGCCTTGCAGAGCTATTGCGCAGTTCTTTTAATGTGACCAGGGTGGGGTAGGGGAAGTGGGAGAGAAAGGATTTGGCCTGGTGTAACTGGGGTTAATCTTGGGGGGAAATCTGGTCGCTTTACCTGTGAGCCAGGCAGGTGGACTTGCCTTAGCTTTCTTGGAGACCTCAAAATCTCCCCTTTAGCTCACTTTGCAAAAGCAAGGGCTTGACTGAATGCCCAGGGGTCAAAGGCTACCTCTTCAATGCCCCCCTTCCTACTTTTAGTGGTCTGGGGGTTCCTTTTTTCTTTGGGAAGAAAGGTGTCTGCTTTGCACTTGGAGAGTCAGGGGTGTGCTGTGCTTGTCACATGGCTAGGAACACGCAGGATTGTTTTCCTGGGTAGGTTGAGGCACCATCCACCCACAGACAAGAAGTGCCTACTGTGTGCCAAGCTGGAAGGATCCAAGAGGGTCTTTGGATCCCCCCTACTGAGGGGCAGTGGGCCACTTGAGAGAAAACACACTAGGTAGTGTCCTCTAGGCCTCGTAGGCCTTGTGGGGTGAATTGCGTACCTTCTTTTTCTTCCTCAGGGGCTGAATGCGACCCAGCCTGCGACCCCAAACATGGATTCTGCGAGGATGACAATGTCTGCAGGTAATGGAGTAAGCCTCTTGGGGGCCCTGGAGGGGTCCTAGGGGGGTTTGGAGCCAAGCTAAAAGGAGGGGGTGCTTTGCCACAAAACTGCGTCACAGCTTTCCTGTTCCTGCAGAAAACTGGTGGGGGCGGGGGAGAGAGAAGGAGGGGGCAGGAGAGGGTGGGGGGGGGGGCAGGGAAATGTCTTGCAGGATGAGACCATTGGGGATCACTGCATCAAATGTGGTTCTTGTGGGGGTCTGGAAGACCCTGTGTTTCTGCCCTTGAGCCCCCTTCTCTGAGTTTTCCATGCAGGTGGCTGCTGTTTGCTCCAGGGACCCACTGGCCTGGCACTGTACGAAGACTACCAAGGGTTCTCCACCCAGCAGAAAAACGGCCTGAGCCCTCTTTGGACCCCCTGCTCCCCTCATGCGCCCCTTTCTCTCCCCTTTGTTCACACAGGTGCGAGATGGGCTGGGAGGGCCCCCTGTGTGACAAGTGCGTCACCGCCCCTGGCTGCGTCAACGGACTCTGTGACGAACCATGGCAGTGTTTCTGCAAGGATGGCTGGGAAGGGAAATTCTGCAACATAGGTGAGCACTGACCCTCACCCCTCTCCCCTGCCCACCCCTCTCCCTGTCTGGAGCTGCAACCCAGAACCCTAAGGCTCTCTATTTGCAGTATGTGATCTATAGTGTATACACGTTTCCTGCTGGGCCTCAACATAGAGACTGTATTTTGTTCACCTCAGCTCCTCTGGGGGTTCCAAGACTTGGGGGTGGGGGTGCTGGGAAACTGCCTGTTGAATAAAGAGTCACAAAATAAAACACATCATGCCCAGGGTGGCTGGACCACGGATTGGGGCTACTTGCACAGGTACCTGGAGCTGGAAGATGGGGGGGGGGGGGTCTCCTGGGTGTGCTGTGGGAGGGGTAATTCTCGGGGCTCAAACATCAAGAAAGGGGAGCCAGTAAACAAATAGGAAGGGGTGGCTGGTGCTGAGTGGTGATGGTGGGGGCTGAGTGTGAACCACAAGGAAGGACAGGGTGGGGAGGGCAGTCAGGTGCGGCAGGAGGTTGGTGGTGGGGAGCGGCAGAGGAAGGGTTAAAGTGCACACTGATGCTATCTGCTGATGTCATTAATTTATATGATCTTTGTAAACTGACAGCTGCGTTGTTGTAGGACCCTTTGCATTTGCTAAACCTGTCCCCAAAGTCCAGGCAAACTGAAGTCCTGGGGAATAAAGGGTGTGTGCCCCCCCTGGGAGATGACATCCCAGTAGGAAGGCAGACAGCTAGATGCCCTAGGACCTATCTCTTCAACATTGCCAGTGACAAACAGGGAAACCAAGGATCAGAGAAGCAAAGGGGCCCCCGTACCCCAAATTGTCTATGGCCTCCCTCTCCTCAAGTGGTGGCACGGTGGGTGGGGGAAGGTTTTTGCTGCAGCTGACTCATGCTCTGGCCACAGCTCTGCAGCCCCTAGCAGCAGCAGCAGCAGCAGCAGCAGCAGCAGCAGCAGCAGCAGCAGCAGCCACTGCTCTGAATTGTTTGGGGATGCTAGAAAAAAACCACTGACCAGGGTTAGGCTTTTAGCCTAGCTCCCACCCTTCTAGCTACCTGAATCAGGAATAGCTTTCCAGACAGAATCCCCCTTCACAGGTCCCTCAGCATGCATAGCCCCTCTCCATCAAATTCACAAAGGCTATCTGCCTGGGTAGAAATGGTGGGGGTCGAGGGTTGTCCCAGGGGGGAAATAGCCCCTGGGTAATTGCTGCCCCTCTCCCTTTCTGCCCGCCTGGCCACAGCTGCTGTTTACGCAGAGCCCCACTCTGCCCTCTCCTTACAGCAGCGACTCACCCCGTCTTTGGGGTTGGAGGCTCTGGAGAGTTGGTATTTAGGGGGACTGAGCAGTATAGTCTAGGGGTGGTCGCCAGATCTTTATCTTAAATTCAAGATTCCAAGTGGTGGGAGAGCAGGCACAGAGAAGCCAGAGCCAGCTTCAGAGGCTCAATGCACTAACATTTTGCTGGAGCTATCCCAGAAAGATAAATCCTCTCTAGGTTTCCTTGCACCACGACGGACTCCTGCAGAGAGTCTGCCAACAACGGTGCACAGAATTTTTCACAGACGCTGGTCTCCCCTCCATCAGGGTTCAGGTCTCTTTGAAAAAGGAGAGGAAAATGTCCCCCTGCGGTCTCAGCACGGGGAACCCCTCCCCTGGGACTGCCTTCACTTGCAGTCCTTGGCCAGCCCTGGCTTTCTACAGCTCACATTGTAGAAAAACACTCAAGAGATCAGCTACGGAGAGCTTTTCTTTGAATACGGAGGGAAACTGAGGCAGAGTGGGAAGGAGCTGAACTCTGGGGCAGCAGGTTGGAGCAGCCACAAAGGGTCCCTTCCTGACCCTGCTGGGCAGCTGGGGTCTCCACAGTCAGAGAACCCCTTGCCCCAGCCCCTTTGTTCAGCTCATCCCGGGCTTGCTGAGCCCGAATAATGAAGTGAGCCAGACGGGGTGTCAGAGCCCTCGGAAATACAGCAGTGTTCATGGAAGCCTGAGCCGATGGGAAAGCGCTCAATAGTTCTAATTTTTCTGCCTTCAAAAGATGCAGCCCCTTTTACCCCTAGACCCCCTTAGTTCAGAACCAGAGAACAGAAGGGCCACGGGGTGGGGAGGCAAATTAGACTTCTTGTTTCCTGATGGGGATCTTTGATGGGAAAGTGTGAAAAGCTGGTGTCCGCCGCGCCCCCCCTTCTTGCCCTCCCCCACCAAGTGTTAGTTTAGCTCCGAAGGTGGCAGAGACCCCTTTCCCTAAATGGGAGAAGCTGAATGTGAGAAAGGAGACAGACAGACTTTAGGGAATCTTGGCTCCCTCCCTGTTTTGTGGAGGGACAAAGGCTTCCGCGGTGAAGGTCATGTTGCTGCACTGCAAGGGTGCCAGGAAGAGGGTGCAGCTGCTTATCTTGGTTACCCATGGCCTTGGCTTTCTTACTTGTGACCTTAGAGTTAAGCTTCCTGACCCTCAGCACTTTAGGACTTCGAGGGGAGTCACTGTACCCCTCTTCCCACCAACCCCGCTTGGGTTCCTGTCACACTGGCCTCTGAAAGGGAAAAAGCTAAGCACAGGCTTTTCTGTTTCCCAGACATGCGGGCTTGCACCTCAACCCCCTGTGCCAACAATGGAACCTGCGTGGACCTCGAGAAGGGCCAGTACGAATGCTCCTGCGCCCCTGGCTTCTCTGGAAAGGACTGCCAGAACAAGGATGGGCCCTGCGTGATCAATGGGTAAATATTCTCTCACCTCACCCTTGAAGACCCTTTCAATCCAACCCCATAGGACCTGTCGCCTGATAAAAGAAGTGTTCCGGGCAACCCGTGCCCCACCCTCCACTCTGACGGGGTAGGGGACTTTTATGGAGGACTGTGTCATTTCCATAATTTTTTCAAATGATCCTGAAGGCAATTTCATATTCCCCTGATGTTCCCAAGCCCTGATGCCCGTGAATGACAGCAGATTGAGATGGGGACAGAGATGCCAAGCTGTATAATTTTCTAAAGGCAACATAATAAGAGATCAGAGTTCAGCAGGACCAGGCTGTGAAACCCACTTACCATATTGTAGGAGGCAGTTTAGGTCATTGCAATTGGATTTACTGGGATGTCTGAGGAGATTGCAGGCGATGGGAGGGGGCACTGGTAGCGGCTAGCGGCTAGCTGCTAGCTAGCGTGGTGGGGAAGAGACTCTGGGGCCGCTGTCCAAGATCCAGGAATCTGCAGGGGCTTCAAACAGTCAGGAACATAGGGGTCTAGCGATCTGTATTCAGGAAGGACATTGGAGGTAGTGACCATTGAACTCTCCTGCAGTTTACTAAAGGGGGAGAACACAGGACAAGACCTTTCAGCTTGTTCTGTTCTGACAGACTTGATCTAGTCTGTCAAAATAGAGCCCGGGGGCCCTTAGGAAGTTTTCAGAGTCCAGCTACTTGCAGCCCCAGGGCTGAAGTTGCAACGTTTATTCCTTGTGTGTGTGTGTGTGTGGTGGTGGGGGGGGAGGGGGCGGCTTTTCTTTCCCCAGAGTTTTGGCATTTATCGGATGACAAAGGGCTAGGTCGTTTAAAAGCACTTACATTAAATGCTCTGTGTGCTCCACTCTGAGCAAACAGCTTCAGTTTGCAAGCTGCACTTGGGTGAATGGACCACTATTAAACAGTTCACCATAGACACCACTCCCGCCAGCGTAGATACAACCCGTATTTCTTTTACTGAAAGCCCCCAAGGGTTTCCTTCACAATAGCTGGCTGGGCCCACTCCACTAGAAATAAAAACAATAAGGGGTGGTAGGTGGGGTGGGGGGCACACGCTGGAGCCCTAACAGCAGACCCCCTGTTGGAGAGCCCAGGATGCCCTCCTCGTCTGAGGGATCTTACCCTAAACTTGGGCTGTTACTAATGCTCCCTCTCCCAGCCTCAGTTTCCCCTTCTGTCTAGTAACTAACAATGGGTGCTCTTGCCTGAGAGATGAAATAAGAGATGGGAGAGGGCACGAGAGGTTGGTTCTGTTCCTGGTTGACCAGGTTGACATCATGACAGGGTGAGGTGTTTGGGCACCCCACCTCTGGGCAGCTGATGAGCCTCCAAGCCAGGGGTCCCAGTCCCAGGTACCCGCCCCCCTGCTGGCATTATACCCATCTTAGCCTGATGCGTTCTGAGCCTTGCTCTTTTGTCAGGTCCAAAGGAAGGCCCGGAGAAAGGAGCCTCACCCCTGCCCCCTGCCCCTCCTGCTCTGCCCTAACCCAGCCCCCAAGGGCCTTTACCATGTCTATTGTGCTGCAGCTCTCCCTGCCAGAACGGAGGGGCCTGTGTGGATGATGAGGGCCAGGCCTCTCATGCTTCCTGCCTGTGCCCCCCTGGCTTCTCGGGTAACTTCTGCGAGATCGTTAACAACAGCTGCACCCCTAACCCATGCGAGAACGATGGCGTCTGCACCGAAATCGGGGGCGACTTCCGTTGCCGCTGCCCAGCTGGATTCGTCGACAAGACCTGCAGCCGCCCGGTGAGCAACTGCGCCAGTGGCCCGTGCCAGAACGGGGGCACCTGCCTCCAGCACACCCAGGTGAGCTACGAGTGTCTGTGCAAGCCCCGGTTCATGGGTCCCACGTGCGCGAAGAAGCGCGGGGCCAGCCCTGTGCAGGTCACCCACCTGCCTAGCAGCTACGGGCTCACCTACCGCGTAACCCCCGGGGTGCACGAGCTGCCAGTTCAGCAGCCCGAGCACCACATCCTGAAGGTGTCCATGAAAGAGCTCAACAAGAGTACCCCTCTCCTCACCGAGGGACAGGCCATCTGCTTCACCATCCTGGGTGTGCTCACCAGCCTGGTGGTGCTGGGCACCGTGGTCATCGTCTTCCTCAACAAGTGCGAGACCTGGGTGTCCAACCTGCGCTACAGTCACATGCTGCGCAAGAAGAAGAACCTGCTGCTGCAGTACAACAGCGGAGAGGAGCTGGCGGTCAACATCATCTTACCCGAGAAGATCGACATGACCACCTTCGACAAGGAGGCTGGAGACGAGGAGATCTAAGCAACGTCCCCCTAGGTCCCTCCATAGTATCGGGGTTCCGCAGCGCTTGCTATATGCGGTCTGTGCTTCTCTTTGTGGCAGAGCTTGCTCTCTTTGGTGTGAAATCTAGTGAGCGCTATGCTTACATGTGTTGTCTTTGCATTGCTGTGTGACGTGCTGCCATGCTATCTAAGAACCCCGTTCCTCCCCTCTCAATGCATGCTAATGAATAATAATAATAAGAATTTCATCTCTAAATGAGTTAAAGAAATAAGTATGTTATTCTAAACTCTTAACTATCAAATATATCACATATAAAATCAAAAAAGACCAAAAAAAAACATGGTAACAGAACCAGGACTTGGTGCTGAGGTCCCTCTCCTGGGGGGCTTTCGGCCACCAGGTCCTCGTGCAACCACATACGAATGCTGTGCTTGACCACTCACTGTGAAAAGGGCTAAACTCTTTCGTTCGTTAATTCTCACACACCACTTCGACTCGCACTCACATCCAGTCTCACACCGCAACCCTTAGATCTTTCCAATTGATTTGTGACTTTGCAGTGTGTAGTGGCTGTGTGTCAGGCAAAGAGAGCCCCCAGGTTGGCTGCTGGCAGACAGGTCAGGACCCAGTCCCAGCCCTGCCGCTCACTCGCTGTGTGACCCTTGGCGAGACCTCCATTCCCAACCCTGGGCCACCTCCCCACCCCTCTCTTGAGGGAGGGGTGGAAATATCCAAACCACCAAGGTCCTCTCTAGCCCCCAAATTCAGAATTAGGAACGAGGGATATATACCAAAACACTTCCTGACTCCAAGAATAGGATCTGATGGAGACTTGGTCTCATCCTGGGATCCGAAAGGTTTTGGCCTATCCTGGCTGTACACTTGATATTGAAGTCGATCCCAACAGCGTTTCTCAAAGTGGGGAGCCTCCTGGCTCCTGTCCAGTTTGGGAAAAATTGGCCCCTTGAGGGCAAAATGTGCCATTTGGAGTTGTCTCTTGAGCAACCCACTCCTCACCCCAGCTCAGCCCTGCCCCAGCCCCATGCCCCCCAGACTCCACCCCACACTTGCCCCTGTAGAGTAGAGATGATATGCTTTCAGACGTAAGTGTACCTTGAACCACAAGTGCCCCCTGGCAAAGTCTGAGTGAGCAACACAGCCCTCTCCAAGGTTTTCACAGGCTTTATTGGAAATTGCTGCTTGTGGGGCTTTTTTCTTGTCCTATGGCAAAAGTGTGATAGCCCCTGTCCACAGCCATAGATGTACCTTTGTGTTGCTGAGTCTATGACCCTCAGATCCCAAAAGACCTAGCCAGCTTCTAAATTTAATTTTTTTAAAGAGCATCTATCTTTTTTTTTGCAAAATAAAAAAACAAAAAACAACAACAAAAAAAAGTAGAAAGAAATGGGATAGAGTCCTGTGTAGCTTCTCAGCTCTGGTTGGAGTCTGGTTGCTACACAGCCCTTGGGTCCCAGCTAGGAATCCTTTGCTTCTTAGGTTACCTGGATAGGAGTCTATGCTCTTAGCTTTAAATGTGAGCCGTGTTCACCCTGCTCTGAGTACTTGCTTGCAAGTCATTGTCACCATTATCCACTGTCATTCAAATCATGATCACAGCACACACTCACAACTTCATGGTCATCACTCATTGGTCATGTGCGCCACCGTTGTCACACATTATCGACCTTATCACCCCTCCAACCTCTACCCTGGGATCATTTCGTTCACAGCCCTGACTCAAAGAATCTCTTCCCACCCATTGGTCATGGATCATCATCAGCTTATGTTTATCTCAGTCACACTCTGAGACTCCTCCCCATTTTGCCCCACCCTCATCCTGATGAGAGTGTCTCAGCCCCCCAAATCACCACCTCCTCCATCAAGTCATCATCCCATCTCATTTTAAGTTAATTTTAAGAACTAAAAATTTAAAAAAGATTAAAAAAAAAAAAAGTAACAACAATTATCGACAATTGCCAGGCTGGTGTCTCGTATGCCTCTGGCCTCTTTCGCCTGGAGACCTTGACAGAGTCTGCTAACGATTCTGTTCCTCAATTTCTCCAATGTGAGAGTCTACAATTGGACAAAAAAAAAAAAAAGGGTTATTTCTCCATTCCACATTTTCTTTTCGTTCTCCATGTTGTGGAGAGCAGCCATGTCTCCTATGACAAAGGGGGCCCGGCTGTTCTCCCAGCAGGCCCTTATCCATCCAAAAGATTCATCATCCACCATTCATCCAGTCAGGGAGTGTTTCCAAGCACCTGCAGAGTGTAAGGCGGTGTTCTTGGAGCTGTGGGATATGCGGGCTGAGGGGCACATTCTGGGAGGGGAGCAGAGATATAGGTGTCCCCAAGAAGCCAGGAAGAAAAACACCACCACCGTGGGAGAGTCCTGAGCAGATGCCTCCCTCAGAGTGCTACCATCTCATCTTCCCACGTGACAGAAGATCAAGAAAGCCAGAATTCCACGGCATCCACCTTCCACAGAAGAGGAACACAACGTTTGCAGTCTCATCTTGGTCTTCATGTATGCAGATCTCTGGCTGCCCATACACATCTCATGTGTTTGGTGTAGTACAGTTTTCTCATCGGTGGAGTAGCTGGAAGAGAGCTGTCTGGGACATGATTCTGTAATCACAATGTTAATGAAATGTCCATCATGGCACTCTCTCAAGTCTCCCCCATTTTTTGCAGGCAAGTCCAGACACAATGCAAAAACAATCGTTTCCTTGGTAAATAAAGGAACAAGGGCTATACTTGTGTTTGCTATTTGTCTGTTATTTTCCAATTACACGAGCACCTCCCAGGGACGGCCTTAAACATAGGCCAGGGGTTTTGAGAGCTCAGCTTCGGCTCAGCTTCGGCTCTTTTAGTGTGGCCTGGAGCCACAAGCTTAAGGGGTAGACCCTTGGACCTCCACACCTCACTTACCTTGCTTTTACTAGGAGAAACTTTAAATCCGGGCATTTTCTGACCACTGGGGCCTTGAGACCAGCACCAGGGCTTGGGGGACCTTGTCTATGGCTGCCTAGCTCCCTAAGTGTGGCTGCCCATGGGAGGTGTGGATGGATCTGGGACATGAGAGGGACAGGGACAGGGGAAGGGGACCAAGAGATTCACGTATGAGCAGCTAGCTCTTTCCACACTCCAAGTTTGAGCCCAGAGCTCTGTGGAATCCTCCCTGGACTTTCCATGGTTATTAGAGGGTGGTTGCTAAGGTGAGAGAGAATATATAGGTTGAGAGACACCCAGCAAGGACAATTTGGACCATGGCAGGTCTGTAGGTTCCTTTCATACTCCTAATTCAGTCTCTTGTGGTATCTGTTTTTCCTCTAATCCCAGGGCACCATTAGCCATGTGTCCAGTCAGTGAGTGTACCCCCTCCCAGTGCCCCACTCTGTAGGACCACCTTACCCCTGCAGCCTTGGGAGCCTCGGTCTCGTCCCTGTTAGCCCAGGAAGTGACCCTTGGTTTGATGTCCCATCTCCGGCCGCTCCCATGACCTATCCCTTGCCTGCCCAGCTGCCCAGGCCCAGAAGCTGGTATCTCTAGGGGATCACTTCCCTGCACTGCCCACCCTCCTGACTCCTTTCACCTCTTTTTGACCTCATCCTCTGCCCCTCAGAGGCCCAGGCCCATGTTCCCTCTATGCTTATCTTGTTTTTCTACCATGGCCCATCTCCTGAGCGCAAATGAAGCAGAGTACACAGGAGGGACTAGAAGGGGGCATAAGATCTTAGACATGGACACTGTGCTAAAAGCTGTAGGAAAATAAGGTGGTTATGTGGAGCTAGGAAACACAGAAGTGTCTACACCGGGAATGCATTTTCGATGACGATATTAACCCACAAATTCTTCAACATAACCAGTGGGGTGGAGCAAGACCCCAGCAAACAAGGCCAACCTGACCCGGGAACTCCAACACCCAACACTGAAGGAATGAGAAATTCCCAGGTTAGGAACCCTGGCTCAGAGACTAGTTGGGGGAGGAGGGAATCATCCAGTGCTAACACCAAGTGAGTGGCAGCCGCCCTCTCCACCTCCGAGGAAAGACACAGACCCTCAATGAAATGTAGTCAAGAGGGGTTTTAGAGCTCCATAACCAAGAGTGTTTGTTAGAAAAGCAAGACTAACCAAATGTTAGATGAAAGGTCCAGGGGCCTTAGAGGCCCTAGGGTGGGGGATGCCCAGAGGCAGGGGGTAGGCTTGGGTTAGGAGGGACCATGGCTGTGAGATGCACCCTGAGCTCACAGCATGGGGACAGCAGTGGAAAATTCCCCAACGGCTACAGTTAGGCTCCAGAGGCCTTTGTGCTAAAGGCTGGACCCTGGGAGGGGGTGGAGCTTTAAGAAGTGGGGTCAAGTGGGGGTCTTTAAGTCATTGGGATCATGCCCTCTTGGGCCTCAGCCTCTTCCTCTTTCTCTCTGTGTGGCTTTCTGCCTATGAAGGAGGTGGTTTTACTTAGCAATACGTTCCCTCCAGGATGTACCCCCACAAGTTCCAACAGGAGGGCCGACTACATCCTCAAACACGGGGAGCCCAAATAAGCCTTGGCTCTTTGTAACTTAATTATCCCAGGTGTTTATGGTAGTTATGGGAAGCTTCATCAGACCTGGGCAGGGAGATGAACATTGCAAAGTGGGAGTGAGGTGAGAGGATGGTGAGCATCGGGGGAGAGGCCCCTACGGTCAGGAGCCAATCCAGGCCCCCAGCACAGAGCTGCCCACTGGACAGTTTGGATGAGGAGCCCAGTTCCACTCCCGGGACAACCGTGAAGCCACACTGCGTGTACTATGCTTAGTTTCTTCACTGACTTACAGTGTTGAGGAAGGTCTCACTGTCACCCCAGCAAAGACCCTGCTCAATGAAGCACCCACCTCCTGCTCAGAGGAAGGAAGAAGCCCAGGCCTAGGAGCTGTGCTGGAGGAATGTACTTGCCCGGCCCATGCAGGGTGGTGGGCTCTGCAGGTTGCTTCATTGTGCTCGTGGCACAAATGAAAACACAGGCAGTGACTGGACCATAGCCCAGGAATTCACGACAAGGAGGAAAAAGGGTCTCTCTCAAGTGAGACAGAAACAAGCAAAGCTTATCCGCGGCCCCTTAATGCCACGAACAGTTGGCCTTTAATTAATATTCAGCATCTTACTGGTCAGGATGACCTACAGAATGAAGGCTAGGGCTAGACAGTGGGCGATGTGAAAGGACCCCCAAGACCAAGTTCTCAGCTCAAAGGAGATGTATTTACTCCAGAGGGACAGAGGGCTGGGAATAAGAGACAAAGACAGGGAAGTGGATTTTGTTTTATTTATTTATTTTTAACTCATTTCCAGGGGATGGGAATTTTTTTTAAATGATGTGTCATGAATAAAGTTGTTTATGAAAAAAAAAGAGAGAGAGACAAAGACAGGAGACTGAGGAGGAGGGGAAGCGGGGAGAGAACAAGGGAGAGGGGACCTGGGGTACTTGTGGGGGGGGGAGCGCAATAATGACAACAAAAGACTCCCTCTGGATAGAGAGGAGACAGACGTGGTGCATAGGAAAATGGCAGTTTATAAAGGTAAAAGGGGAAACCTTGTGTTAGGACGAGGGGTTATTTTTAATTGGGCATGTTCATTAGGTGAACCAAGGGGGGCTTCCCTGCTCCCCCCCCAGCTGAGGACCAAACTGAGCTAAATCCCCAACCCCCATTCCCCCACACAAAAGATAACTGGACCTTGGTAGTCCACCTCAGGAGGAGGAAGTGGCCAAATAAGGGACTAGATCTTGGGAGCTAGCTTTAGAATGTAATCTAATGGGTTTTTAGCAAGTCAGAGGGGATGGGGGGAAGCACAAGGCCTGCCTGATCCATACATACCGTGATAGAGTAGGGCCCTTCACGATGGGACTGGATTTGAACGTGGCTCTGCGGCTTGGTCCACTTGATGTCTTCACTTGGTGCCGCCTCCTTCTGTGGAAGAGCACAGTGAGCGAGCCTGCTCGTGTGCTGTGCTTGTAGTACTTCCAGCCAACACGACAGTGAAAAACCAACCAGAGTCTCTGTGCTTCACAGACACACATGCAGGCACAGCATCTCTGGACATAAAATAAAATTAATAAACCCCCAAAAGAAAAGAAAGCAGGGAGGCATGCCTATCACCAAGGAGATTATGGTTGTCTTCCCCAAACCCCAAAACTTCAAAAAACACCTAGAAGAAATAAGCCAGGAAGGGGTTGGGGACATGGCTTGGTTGATAGGGAGCTTTTGCCCAGCATGAACAAAATCCTGGATTTCACCCCCAGCACTGCATAAACTGGGCATGGTGATGTATGCCTGTAACCCCAGTACTGGCGGACTAGAGGAAGGAGAATCAAGAGTTCGAGTTCACCCGTAGTACATGGTGAGTTGAGGCCTGCCTGGGTTACACGAGACCCTGTTTCAAAATCAATCACAAAAACAAAAAAACGAGGGCTGACATGATAGCTCAGCAGTTAGCGACACTTGCCACCAAGCCTGATGATCTTAGTCTGGGAGAAACTAAGATTATGGGAGAGAATCGACACCCACAAGTTATCTTCTGATCTCCACATGCTTCCTTTTCTCAATAATAACAACAACAACAACAATAATAAATTACTATTAAAAAAACAAAAAGCAAAGTGACAAAAAAAAGCCGAAAAAACAAACAAACAAACAAACAAAACCCAACCCAGACAAAAGGATATAATGTGCTCCACACCACAGTTTCCAAACCACTATGATGAATGATGGAGAGGCAGGCAAGACAGAGGACCAAAGTGGATTTTTTTCTTTTCTCTTGAGGAGGGAGGCTACAAGGGTGGAGGGCAGACATGGGAGGACTGAGAAATGAGTGGGATTGGGGTGCGTGTTGTGAAATTCCCAAAGGGTCAATAAAAAATTATGGTAAATAAAAACAAATCAAAACAGAAATAGCCCAAGAAGTCAGTAAGACAGGGAACTGTCCATTAAAAACAATGATTTGAGTAATGAAATTCTACCATTTTAAAAATAAAACTTTCTACAGGAGTAGAAAGTTTCTAACGAACCCCTGAATTAATGAGTTTAATTCAATCCATGTGTGTTAAGCCACCTGATAACATCATTCTGAATTTTAGCTGCAAAGATGAGGAGAACAAGTAAGAAAGATAGCCACCAAATAAAACAGAAAAGTCAGGGGGAAAGTGTGTAGCCAAATGTGGTATGTACCTCTTTACTCCCAGCTCTCGGGAAGCAACAGGCCGATATCTGTGAGTCTGAGGCCAGCTGGGTCTACGTAGTGAGTTCCAGGTCACGACAAAACAGAACACTGTGGCTCAGGTCTGGCAGGTGATTTTCAGCACGAGGCGGAATGCATGACTGAAGCATGAAGCATACCTTTGGAAGGACTCTCAGTCCCTGGTGTCCACGTACTTAATCATAAATATGGATCTCAACCAAGGAGATAATTAGCAATTCTGGTGACATTCTTCATTGTCAAAGCTTGACGGGTGGTATCAGAATCTATTGGGTAAAAGCCAGCGATGCTGGTGAATAGCCCACAAGGCACAGGACAGCAGAGAAAATCCTGTCCCCAATGCTTGTAACATGTGGAAGAACCCGGAGGAAGGCCATGCATGGGTCAGGGCTAGGGTTTTAAGAATGGCACCCCCTCATGTAAAGCATTGTACGTCAGTCAGTTAGCGGCCCTTGGAGACCTATGGAGCAATACTAGTTGATGACTTCTAGTGTTATAGATGATGACTTTGGGGCTCAAAGAA